TTAAACCAGGGATCACTCAGGTCTTTACACTTGCAAGGCAGGCAGCAGCACCACTGAGCTAAATCCCCAGCTAGACAGATATATTTTAACAAGAATAACTAAATTGGACAACTATGAGTTAACCGTTATTAGGCAGTGATGGGTTAACGGGGTAACTATGCTCTTTGTAGAATGTACCTGAGCAGCCAGGACGACTGCTGTCATTTGTCACCGCAGGAGTGTGATGGACTCAGAAAGTCCTGCCAGAACTCTTCACTGTGCCCTCCACTGCTCTGTCTGCTTCTGTACCTCCTGCTCACAATCCCAGGCAGATCCACCGACATAGTAAAGGAGCTGTACACTGCCTCCTGCCTCCCTGGGTGTCTGCCTTTCCTGGATTCAGTTTGCTACAGCGCGGGGCTGGAATATATGTGCGAAGGTATAGAGACCAGAGAAGTGCAGCTTCCTTTTCTGAAAAGTTTGGTCTGGCCCGGGAGGTGTGTGACAGATGAGGCTGGGGAGGTGAGCAGAGGCCAGGACTCGGAAGGTGCTGAGAAGCAAGAAAGGGTTTGACCCATGAGGAAGTCACAGTACTAACCTAGGAGGGTGAACAGACGTGGGAGAGCAGTGACAAAGACTCTCAACACTCAACAGTCTGAGCATTAGCATGTCAGGCATTCTGCTGGGGACACATCAAAGAATGAGAAGTCTGCCTTCATGGAGCTGATGTTCTAGGCAAGGAAATGAGCAAATAACCACACAGATACGCACTGTCAAGCACCAATAAGTACCATGGGAAAAGAGACAAGAGCAGGTGTACAGTATTTGTTTTCCAGGGACACCAGAATAAGGCACCACAGGCTGGATGGCTTAAAAAACCAATTTATTTCTTTGCAGTGCCGGAAGGCAGAAGTGCAACAACATCTGAGGGTAGGGAGGTTGGTCCCTCCTGAGGCCCCTCCTCGGCTTGTGGTGGGCTGTCTTCTCTCAGTGTTTCTGTAGGGTCTTCCCTCTTCGTTTTCTCTTCTTGAAAGAATGAGTCATACTGGATTAGGGCCCACCCACAGGTCCTCATTACCTTAATGAGTGCTAAAATACGAGTGGGTAGACTTCAACACACCAAGTTTTAGAGGACATAACGGAGCCCATGACACAAGGTGATAGAGTATAACCAATATTAGAGGTACGGGGAGCAGAAGGATCTGAGATACTGTGCACAGGAGAATATGGGGGGGCGGGCTTCAAAGTAGCAAAGGGCTGAGATCTGAACAAGAGTGGGCATTATCTACACAGATGTCTAGGGGAGCGATCCAGGCAGTGGAAGCAGCTCGTGCAAAGATGCTGACAGGAGGACATGGCTCAGCGTTACCCGGCAGACTCTGTCTTTAAGAATGGTAAGAAGGACGTGGGACAGAGAGATGTTGATTCAGAAATACAAGGCTTAGATTAGATAAGAGGAGTAAGTTCAAATGATCTGTTGCACAGCACGATGACCATAATTAATAAGGTACTGTTGTCTTAGTCTGTTTTGTGCAGTTATAACAGATTGTAACAGACCAGGTAATTTCAAAAGAAAAGAAAGTTATTCTCTCAAGAGTTTCAGAGGCTGGGAAGTTTAAGATCAAGGTGCAAACAGGTTAGAGCTCAAGCTTTCTGCTTTCAAGATGGTGCCTTCTTGTGCATCTTCTGGAAAAGAAATCTTGCCTCATTGCAGGGCAGAAGAGCAAGAGAGACTCCTATAAGCCTTTTTTAATAGTGGTGTTCATTCATGAGAGTGGAGCCTGGTAAGGCCCCCACTCCTCAACACTGTTACAGTGGGGACTAATGCAGAGGGAAAAAGCATTTAAACCATGGCAACTGTATACTTCTAAGAGTGGATTTTAATTCTCACTGCAAAAAAAAAAAAGGAGATGGGGCAATGATATGTTAATTAGCTTGATTTAATCCTTCTATACTGTCTACATACATCAAATTGTGTCCCTTAAAAATATTTATGTTTTATGAGTTAAAAATAAAACTAAAGTTTCTATTGAAAAAAAAAAAAAGGAAGAATTAGTAGGCTAGTATGATGGGAGTGCAAGCAAGATGTTCCAACTCCTGAAGGGCGATTAGGATGATTGGTCCTTACTTTGAAAGGGAAAAACGGTGGAGAATTTTGAGCAGGACAGCAACATAATCAGACTGTTTTAAAAGCAGCACCTGGGTTGTGAAGAGATTGGTGAAGAAAATGAGGACAGAAACAGGAAGAGTAGATGGGAGGCCTTTCCTTTGGAATAATCTAGGTGACCCAGGATGCTGGAACTAAGACAGTAGCATGAAAGTCTTGAGAAACAGTCAGTCTGGGTACAGTTTGAAGAGAGATACAACAGGATTTACTCATGTGTTAGAAGTAAAACATTAGAGCAAGAAAAGACTCAAGAGTAAACCCAAAGTTCTTGTCCCAAGCAACATGGTACTATTTACCTCAATGAGACCTGTGAATGAAGTAGGTTTAAAAGGCATGAAAATTAATGGTTTATTGTGGGCAGTGATTAGTTAGAAAGGAGACTGGAATTCAGGGGGAAAGGTTGAGGTTGAAGGTATAAATTTAGGAGATACTGCGTAAATAGTATTTAAGACTACAACACTACTTGAGATCACCCTGGGAGTGTAGAAAAGGTAGAAAAAAGGACTAAACCAAGGCATACTTCAATTCTTAAGAGATTAGACAAGGGTACATTCTGCAAAAATAGAGAAGTTGAGAAACTGGAGGAAAACCAAGAGTGTTTTTTACTTGATAGAAGCAAAACAAAGAAAACATTCCAAGAATGCTGATGAGTTGTGTAGGAAGATTGAAAACTAACTCCTGAACTTACCACAGAAAGGGCTTGATGATTTTGACCAGAGCTGTTTCCAGGGAGTGTTGGAGGTGAACACCTAATCATAGCCGGCTCAAGAGAAAATGGGAAAGGAAGAATCAGAGATGGCAATTCTTTTGCATTTTGTTGTAAAGGAAAAAAGACAAATGCAATGTTCAAGATGGAGAGAAAAAAATTTCAGACAGGTGATTTTATAGCATATTTGTATGTTAATGGGAATAATGGATAGGAAAAGAAAAATGGCAATATAGAAAAATGGAAATTATAGGAGTTAAGGGTGAGCTGAGGTGGGCCTTGGATAGTGGAGGTAGTTCATTTGGAAGGAAGGAAGGGGGAGGGAGGGAGGCAGGCAGGCCTCATAGGCACCAATGGAAGTAGGTTAGCAGATTTGATGGTGGTGGTAGTAGGGATATGGACATTTTCCTCTGATTGCTTTTATTTTCATAGTGAAATAAAAATAGCAAACAACAGTGTGATTGAGGCTGGAGAGATCTGACTAAATTCAAGAAACAAACATGGTATTAAAAGAACTTGTCAGACATAGGAAAATGTAAGACAAAAGGAAATAAGGATAAATTCCTGGTTTAAAACGCCAACTGGGTAGATGATGAAAATATCTTCCATTCAAGTAGGGAAGCCTGCCTTTGGGAAAAACAGGTCTGGGAGCAGTGTGTGAAGCTGTGAGTGTGAAGCCGAAGGTGCAGTGGAGACCCCAGAAGGTTGAAGCCAGGAACATGGGTCATCTGAGGAAAACTGCAAGGAGGGAGCAGAGCTGGCCCAAGGGAGAAGCCATGGGAGCTACAACCACCAGCAGCGCCACAGGGGCAGAGTCACCCAAGCCCTTTGGAGCTCACAACTTGCCAGACTGCTGAAGATGCTGGAAGTGGAACTGTGGGATTTAACGTTTGCCCTGCTGGATTCTGGTCTTGCTTTGTTCCCATTCCTTGCTAGCCCCCCGTTTGTGACTTTCGGTAAGGAAATGTCTGTCTTGTGTCACTGAATGTTGGAAGTGTTTAAGTTTCCTGTCATTTGTACAGGGGCTTGCAGCTAAGAGTTCGCCTTAAATCTCAGGAGACTTTGGACTTGGTCTTTTCAGCAATGCTGAAACAGTCAGGAGTTTGGCAACTCTTGGAGATGGACTCAATGCCTTTACATACAGGGATGTGCATGAGTCTTTGGGGAGCCAGGGGCAGGATGTTATGGCTATATGTAGAGGTCCCCCTAAAGCCTCATGCAGTCATAGGTGGGCTTTTTCAGAGGTGGCTGGATCTAGAGTATGTGACACTGGGATTGATTCATGGTGCAATACTTAGTTCAAGGACACTAGGATTAAGGGTGTGAGTGCTACCTGCCCTAAGTAGCCTGGATAAGACATAAGAGATAGAAAAGCTGTAGTGGTTCCTTGTTGCTTTGCTACCTTGTGCTTGCCATGAACTGTTTCTCCTCTGTGATGCCCCCCTGCTTCGGAGCCAGCCGACTAGACTGAGAAAAAAGTAACTAAGACACCGCCTCTCCTACTGGATTGAAACATCTTGAAGGCAGAACCTTTTCACCTTTATAATAACCACTAGTTAGTAGGAGACACAATAAATGTTAAATTAAGAAAGAACCAAACTGAAGTCCTAATCAATTGTAGAAGGTTGTAATACCCCCAGCCAGAGTCACATACATATTCTGACCATAGAAATCAAGTTACAAAACAGAGAAAACCCTGAGTTTCAACATTACACCTTTTTTCTTTCAGAAAGAGAACTTACTGTACCTATAGGAAGGAAATATCCTTACCTTATATTAACATACTTTAACTCCTGCCCCGTCCCAAACACTCAAAGCTGGCACGGTATAAAGGCAAAGTCAAGTTATTTGCGTGAATCAGTCACTCTTCATTTCCAAGTTCCAGTTCCTGTGCTTGGGAGCAGAGCGTCTGGTATTTCTCTGGGCTCAAGGAGTAAAGCGATACGGTGTTCAAGAATTTCTCCAGAGGACAGAGTTTCTCAGGACAACCTCTTGGCAGCTGTTCCTGTGGAAGAGACGTAACTCAGCAGGTCCACTGAGAGGGCCATCCCTGTGCAGTCTTCCGCTGAGCCCAGCAGCCTGCAAGGCTCTGACTTGAGCAGTAAGTATGTGTACGAATATAACACCCAGGAAGGCCCCACAACGCAGTCCCTTTCCAGAATAAAAAGCACACAATCTGCTTATAAAAGGCACTGAAGAAATATTTGTTGGACTGACTTGGGAAGACACAATGAAGACATACCCTCAAGCTGGGAGAGCTAAAGGTCTCATTCCGGGTGAATGCGTGGGCCTCCAGCTAAGATACCAAGGGTGCTGACAACATGCATCACATCCCAGTGATGTAAATGATTAAAAAAATCATTTTTAATTTCCAAAACAGAACCATTACGTCTTGGCAGAGAAACTCAAGAGAAGGGCAGGAGGGTGGTGACCCTGCCCCTAGGAGTCTGTAACAGAACCAGGGTATGGCCCTAGTCCCACCTTTCTACCACTTGCCAAGTTTGGCTCTAGTTCTAGGCCACAGCTGTGAGTCACCCACAGGACCTGCTGGTACCAATGGAAACTCCACGGGGCCCATGGGTGGAGGGAGACTGAACCAGGTGGGAAGGGTTGAGGGAGGGTACCCAGCCACCTGCCTAGCCCAACTCAGAGGTCTTACCTCCCCATGGTAATAGAGCTGCACAAACCACTCCTCAGATTCCTGGTGCTGGTAGAGTTCTATGGTGAGGTCAGCTGCAAACGGAGGCCATTTGTGGTCAAAAGTCCCCAGAACCATTAAGAGAGGCATGAGGGTCACATCATGAGCTGCATAGAGGTACAACTTTCTGCAAGAAACAAACAGTTTTCCACAATTCTTTTCTCAGGTCTCTGGAGGCCAGACCATTGCTTGTGTCTTGTGAGTAACAGACAACACTTACTTCAGAAACCAGTTGGTGTCTAGAAATCAACTGAGTATGAAACTCCTTTGAAACACATAACGGGGAGAACCTTTATTCCTACCTCACTCATGTTTCCCTGGGGAGGATCCCACTGCAGCACCTCTCCTTTCCATCCACCCACTCCTTCTGGGAGTTTCATGGAAGCAGTTGTGCTTCTGCCCTATCCAGCCCTCTCTTTGGATCTTGCTACCCTGTAGCAAATGTTCTTTCTTCCCACTCTCAGCCACGTCATGGTCAGTGGGTCAAGCTCTGCTCGGTTTGGCAAGTCTGCAGTTTTGGAGAATGAAATTTAGTTCAAAGGAATATTCCTAAGCTTCTTTGGCCCTCAACACATTCTCAAATGGCTCTAATCAGAAATAAAGGTGCCAGGCCGGGGATTTGGCTCAGTGGTTTCCACCACCTGCCTGGCAAGTGCAAGGGCCTGAGTTCAATCCTGGGTACAAAAAAAAATAAATAAAATAAAATAAATTCTGAGTTCAACAGAAATAAAGGTGCCATTTTAATCCTATTTATCTGATGCCAATATCCATCTTTGGAGAAGTATCAAGCCTTTTATTTACTTACCCCCAACCTAAAAGACTATCACCGGTTCTGTAGCGTTCTTCAGATAGAGGCACAGAGTGTCGAGAAGGCAAAAGATGGCAAGAAACAGGTATTATAGAAACTGCAGGGGTTATACATGACAGAAAAGGACATTCATGGGATTTGCTGTTATAACTCTTGGCCCAAAGTTCCTGAATATTTCTGTTTCAACTCAGTGTCCCACATTTGTGAGTTTCTAGCTATGAATAATTCCTCTCTCTCTCAAGAAGGAAGCCCACAGTGGTGTTTCTGCAAATTAGAATGAAGACAAATCACCTGGGGAACCTGCTGGGGGGATGGGCATTTAGCATGTTCTTGGGTGACAGTGAAACTGTTTTTTAAGGCCGCACTTTACTTAGCAAGTCTCTAGAATACAAGCATTTCAAATCCATAGCCCTAACCTGAGGTTCCAGGCTGTACAAAAGCGGTAATGAGTCCAGCCGAGGCAACTTAGCCATTTAGTGAGACCCTGTCTCAAAAATGAAAAGGGCTGGAGATGCAGCTCAGGGCATGACCCTGAGTTCAAGCCCCAGTATCCTCCCACCCACCACCACCAAAAGTGGCAATGGAAGCTCATGAGACATTTCCAGCATTTGAAAAAACACTTATGGACATCACACTGTGACAATTACACTTGACAGTGCCAACACGATTACCTTTGAGATCTCCCCAGGAGATTGGTAGACCGTACTTTTGGGTGTGTCTGGGTATGTCACGGAGGTGTGCCCTTGAGATCTGTTATCTGGTCCCTGGCTCTTTCCTCTTTGACTGGTTCCCCTACTTTGCTTCTCTGCTGCCATAAACGAGGCATCTCTGCTCTGCCACACCCTTCTGCCATGACTACTTCTGCCTTGGAGCCAGGCAACCATGGAAGGAATCCCTTGAAACTATAAGCCAAACTAAACTCTCCCTTCATTTAAACTGTGGGTGTCTCAGTGATGGGAAGATAACACACATACTCTCTGTACACTGAGCGAAGGTATTTAATCTGTTAAGCAATTATGGAAAATAAGTTTAGGGCTCTTTTTGGCAAAAACAAAATTTTCAAAACATGGTAAAAGAGCTGCAACAAAAACAAAGGTAAAAAGGATTCAAATCTCTCTGGGACATGTGGCCTGTTAAACATCTACCTGCAGTCACTGATAACCTGGTTCTTGTCTACCTCCAACACCAAGCGGTTTCCCTCCCTGAAGCCAGAGGCCCCCAGTGCTGTCCTCTGAACAAAGAAGAGCTTCGCACCAGGTACCTGGTCTTGTTGGGTGGAGGGGCAGGGTCTGCAGCCTTCACTAGGTTGTTCTCCAGGATGTGTAGGAATGGGCCAACTGCCATCTGCAGACCTTCCCTGTGAAAAGTGAACACAGACTTTAAGAGTCCAATAGGTGGGCCCGGGATTTAGCGCAGAGGTTTGGTGGCCTGCCTCGCAAGTGCAAGGACCCGAGTTCAATCCCCAGTACCAAAGAAAAAAGAGTCCAATAGGAGTATCAGGCATCAGGCAGTATGGATTGGTTCTGCTCCACAGGACCTCAAGAGGCCAGGTGGAGCTGAGAAAAAGACAGTGTAGGAGGAGCAGCCAAGGGCAGGAAGGAGAAAGGTTAGTCTGAGGGCTGTCTGTGAACAAAGACTTCCAACTACAAAAGCTCCAGGATACAGACCTGCCAAGAACACAGGTGAAATGGAAGGGGCTGAGGGAACAGGCAAATGGTAACTAGGACAAATTATAAAGAACCAAGCCTCGAGGAATAAAAGGACAAAGATGAGAAGAATGAGGGTAATGATTTGCAGAAATTCCAAAAGAGCAATTAGAAGGCCTAACATCCCAAATTACACTTCCTTTGTGCCAGCATTTCTACTTTTGAGGTGTAGATCATAAAGATATTTCTTATTTGTCTTATTTATTCAACGTAAGAAGTTCAGCAATAGTGTCGCAGGGCTGGCTCTGTGGCTTCTCCACTACTTACACTCTCAGGCTTATCCCTTCACAGTAACAAGCTACCGAAACTCAAAGCATGTTCACGCGTACAGGTGAACAAAGCAGGAAAATGGGGGCTGGCAAGTGGTAGAAAGGTGTGTTTGTGTGTGCCTCCACTTTTTATCAAAGAGGAACAATACCCCCAAACAACACCTCTCCTAGAACTCCCCAAACCCAATCATTAACAAAAGGGATCAAGTTTGCTGTGATTTCAACTAATCTTTTACACACGGTAACTGGGTAAACTGCCATCTTTATGGCAAGGAAAATTGACACAATGAGTAGACAACCGGGCTGGAGATTTGGCTCAGTGGCTCTGCCGCCTGCCCTCTCAAGCGTAAGGTCCTGAGTTCTATTCTGGGTACCAAAAAATAAATTTAAAAAGTAGATAACCAACACTGTATATGACATATGCCTTCCAGAAGAATCTGTGCAGCCTAAGACAAGTTACTGTGAGCTTGTAATCATTTGGCCTTGAAGAGACACTCATTTTATGAAGGTAGGCTAACCGAATGGAAAAGACAACAGATTGGGAGAAAGCAAACTATGGCAGGGCCAAATCTAGCCTGCCTGCCTAATTTTGTAAGTTAAGTTTTATTAGAACACAACCACACCTGTGTGCTGGCACGTTATCTATAGCTGCTTCTTATTACAAGGGCAGAGATGAGTAGATGCAACAGATGCAACGTGGCCAGCAAGACCTAAAATATGTACTGGACGTGTGTGCATAAGAACTGGTGAGGAGGGCAGTGAGTGCCGGTCTGGGTCTGGGGGGCAGTGTCACGGGGAAGCTGGCAGGTTCCAGGCGGTGGCAAGAAGCTGAACAGCTTGGCTGGAGCTTACTGGGCCCAAGGCACTACCCACAGGGACAAGCGGACTCTGAACCGATGCGGTCAGGGGCTCTTGCTCTAATGCAACAGATGGCACGGATTCTTGAAATGTGAGATATTTCCCCCAACACACATACTCACTTTCCCAGAACTCCTCCTCCCCTTTCCCTCTCCCTCTCCTTCTCCCCTCTACCAACTCACCTACTGTGAATGCAAGCTGAATGAAATTATCGATCAGAAAAAAGGCAGCCTCTGAAATTTGGTAAGAGAAAAGCCCTCCTTTTCGTTAGGCAGGAAACAGGACCTCTAGAATCAGAACCTTAGTACCAGGAAGGCTAAGCAAACACAGGACTGCTGTCTGGGGGTCTGGGTCCGAGTTCTGGCCCTGCTACCTGTGAGCCCAGGCAGGGTGGTCAATCTCTCTCAGCCCCACTTTCTCCACCTACAAACCCAAGGACAACGTCACCTACTGCACAGTGAGAATGTGCAAAAATTGTAATATGATATAATAAATAGTGAGAAAATTATTCTTCCTACAACTCCCCTACCCAAATCCTTTGAACTTTAAAGCAAAAGGAAAGAGCGAGTGATCAAAAGACACTCAGCAAGGTGGTGGCTCCTAGTTCTGTGTAACAGGAAATGAAAGCACCAGGTCACCAGCCCCAACTCAGAAGTACAAGGACCGGGGTCTGCAGTGTGGGGTCATTTCAGTCTCTTCCCTGTGATGCCAGCTGGCAGGTGTGAGAGAACCTGATGAACCCTTCATTCCCATACACCTGGAGGTCTAAGCACGCATGAGGTGGCACCAGCAGCTATAGGGTCTCTCACCTGTCTTCCTGCTGCAGGATGTACAAGGCTGTGTCCACAGCTCTCCGTTCAATCACCTGCGCAAATCTCTTCAGCATGGGGCAGCTGGGGAGACTGTGCACCTGAAAGGACCACAGGCAACGTTAGAAAGAAATGCTTCTCACCTGGCAGCTGACTGGCTTCCATGGAGTCTGCTGGGCCTCTCTCCTCCAGGGAAGGCCCACTCAGCACAGAAACTGTGTCCCCAGCGCCCTTCTGAAGCTATGGATTCCTTCATTTCTGAAGGCACAGAATTTAAAAAATTCTTTTTCTGCCCATTCTGATGTTCCCATCCACTTCAAAATTTAATTTAATTTTTTTTATCCTGCGCTGGAATTGAATCTAGGGCCTTTTACATGCCAGGCAAGGGCTCTACCACTGAATCACAGTCCTAGTCCCCAAAATTATATTTTTTAACTTACAAAAAAAGATGGATAAAATACAAGGCAAGGAATTCATATATCTCTACTTGACTTTCATTTTCCCTAAAATGAATTTCTAAAAGTACGCATACAGATACCTTATATGAACTCTTGCCTTTTAATGTAAACCTACTTGTACTTACACACAAGGTACATTTATGCCTTATAGGCATGCTGTCATTTTCACAGGAGAAGAAAACAGGATCTTATATTGCCTCGGCTTTTGAATCTAGAAGTATCTCTCACTGTGTAATTTTTATTACTGATTGCATAAGAAAAGACTGTGGTTACATGAGTCTGAGGAAAACAGTTGTAAGATTAACCAGATTTTTCATAGGTATCTCAAAATTTTTAAATGTCGATATGCATATTGACCCTCCAAAAAATATAATAGGAACTCCAAAACCTATTTTAGAACCTAAAATATGCTAACTGAAATTTTACATGTAAAGATTTACTATTCTTTCCTCTCATAATGCTCACTACCCATCCACTGCACTCTCAGACTGCTCTATGAAAAATACACACTCACACCTAAGAAATCCAAGGATCCTGGGTCAAGAAAGAGATCTAGAGTTAAACGTCTGTGTTCCTGAATGAGGGGCCCTCCCTGATCGTTCTTACTCTGTCTCCCTTGGCTGCTCTGTGTCCCTCAGTGCCCATGCACATCCCATCTGTGAGTCTTGTCACATTTGCCTGCAAACCAGCGGCCCCACCCGGTTCTCTGTCGAGAGCCAGCCCAGTCAAGTGCCCACCCCACAGCCCCCACAGCCCCCAGCCCAGGGCCCAGGGAAACACAGCTCACCTGCTCAGCAGCCACATTGTCTAGGAGGACGAGGAAGTCTACTTCGTCACTACTGTCAGTGCCCATCCCTTCTTTCACCTTCTTCAAATCCTCCGAGATTCCCGGCTGCAAGGCAGCAGCCTCCCTCCGGCCTCTACCAAAAAATAAGAGCAATCCCTGATATAGTATGATGATCGACAGTTGGCACTGAGTTTCATCCAACACTTGAGACTTCATTTAACTTTCACAGCCCAGTGGCATGAGCTGTATTATTCTCATTTTAAAAATGAGTGAAGTAACGCTCAAAATGTCAAGTGACTTTTAAAAGTAAGTTAGCAAGAATCAGGGTTAGCATAAAAGGCTAGATTTTCTGAATCCTACTCTAGTACTTCTATTATACCAGAAACAATGCAAAGCCCAGGTCTATCTTCAAGCAACATTCCTTTTTTGCTGTGGAACATATGTTTTATAGTCTTGGTACAGCCCAGAAATATCTAAGGACTGAAAAGTGTCCTCAACCCAAATCAATCCACCCTACACAGCACCATGTTGGTAAGAGAAGGGAAGGTGATGTCTTCTCCTGTGTATATACCTGGGTTTACAGGTGGATGACTGGATCGGTCACCTTTTATTTTACCTGTCAGTTTCCTTATCTGCCCCACTCCAGAGCCCAGAGTTGTCAGGATAATGCTCTGAAAGGCACAGTCCCATTCATGGCTATGCTAGCATCTCTCCATCGGAGTAGCTTTACCCAGGCTTCCCTTCCTGTAGCTTCATTCTGAGCAAGAGCTTCTTCATTTCCCACACAGCTGAAGTCAGATCCGAGTGTGATTCGGCCCCACATCCCTTATCCACCAGTGGGGAAGCCCAGGCAGGGTCCCTGTGTAGGCAGTCTGACACCAGAGGTGGGAAAAGTTACCTGGTTCTCTGCCTCAAGCCCCAGCAGTTCTGGTAGTTGGGGTACAAGACTTCAGAGCTTGACTCATCAGTATGGATGATGATGGATCCTGGAAAGAAGGAAGTTCATGCAGGAGGGGGCATCGGCTTTTTCTTCCCAACATCCCACTGTGTACTACTTCTTCTCTTTGTCTACAGACAGAAGGGCTCCAAGAGGCAGATCACAAGGACACTCCTTAAGGACAGGGGACACCTTCAAAACACCCTGGCTCTGCCACCAGGAGCTCTCCTACAGCCTGAGCACTGAGGAAAGCAAGAACCAGCCTTGTTCTGTATAGCACATGTCTGCCACTGGACCACAAATGGACTGGAGCAGATAGAGACCAAGATCAGACTGGCATTTCCCTCCCCATTCCAAAACACCCCTGCCCTGAAGCACTACCAGCACTCGGGCATTCTCATAAATTGGCTCTCCTCAACTTGATCAGAACCAGGTTATTTTTTTGCTTCCCAAAGATCAACCCCATAGGTCAGTGTGGTATCTTATCAAATGCTAAATTGAAAAAGGTGGCCACAAGGTCAAAAATACTGTCATACTCCAGGTCCTGCCCCAAATAAAAGCCAGCCTTTAGATAAGCTGCTAGGAACCAAAGATTAGATAATAATGATGTTTCTTATAGATAAATGCTGCCCTTGTCCCCTCCTGTCTGATCTAAGAAGGTGTGCTAACATCTTCCTGTGCTCTGCTCTGTGCCCGTGGCAGGATCTCTCCACACAGTTCAGGCGTCACAGTTGAAAGAAACAGCTCCTGTCAGCAGTGATCTGGAATTCACCGAGTCTAATCCACAGAGCAATTAGATCAATCTAAGTCCCGTAGTTATAATTATTCTAACACCAGCAAGATTCAGCGTGTGCCAACACCGTTTTAAGGACTTTACAGACACTGCTTCACTGATCTACAACACGTGGGTACACAAAGGAGCTGCCATCTCTCCCCCTCAGCCACACTTTTTGAGCAAGTGAAGAACTTTCAGAAGATCAGGCACTGTGGATTATTCCTGAGCTCAAGGGTTCCTAAAAAGTAAGGGGCCGTCCACCCTGTTTGCATTATGTTATCTGGAAGCACACAGTGTTTAGCAGCTTACTTCAGCCGGAATTAACAGCAACACCCAGTCCAGTTGGGAACAAGGCCAGCCTCCTCCAACCTGAAAGTTTCATTATTTTCTGTACTTTTAAAAGTTTGATGGGAATTCTGTTTCTACTTGAGATACTGCTGAAAGAAGCCACCCAAAATAAGAACCTTTGCCTTCCAGTACTGTTTTAATAGTATTTTAATGAAGTCTGGTGATATTTTAATAGTGGTGAGGTCAAGATGATCTGAAATCCAGACCAGTAATTAAATGTGAATTTGAATCAATTACAAATGACAAAACACAGACCCATTTGATGGCCAGTAGCGCTCAATACATAGGAAGAAATGCAGTCATTGGTGGTGAAACATTTGGGAATTATTAACTGTAATCACTTACTGGCCGAACATACAAAACCCAAACTTGATAGACTTCTTTCCCTCGGAAAGGGTGAAAAGAATACTATTAATACAACCATAGATGATGCTGTGGATTATCACCGATATAAGAGCAGGAGCAGCCATCTTAGGTCCCAGCTGAGGGGAGTCCCCCGCCCCCTCCTCAGCACTGCTTCACCGCGGTTCTCAAAACCTGGACAGGGCTGCCTTCTGCACCTTGTGGAGAAGCCTGAGAAGTTGGGAGGTAGAGGCCTATCAGGGCAGGTGAAAGGGCGGCATAAGGCTAGGCTGGGAAGGACCCTCTAGAACAGGAACACTCCGAAGTCACATGTGTGGAAGAGATCAAAGGAACAGGCACCAAGGATGCGAGAGGGGTCTTGGAAGTGAGAACGAAGAGCTGCTCAGGAACAGGGTCTGATTTTAAGACTTCAAACACAAACCTTCTTTCTCACGTTGAAAAAGCCCAGCCAGCAAACAACGAGTAGACTCCAGATTCCGATACATGTTAGTGGAACGAACACTGAGGGGAAAAAAAATGAAAAGGTAGAGATGCTCATAAAAGGAAGACCGAATTATATAAACTCTCCCTTATTCCACTAAGCAGCTGGGAGTCTTTGAAGACCACATAAGGAATGTGATGGGACTAGGAAGAATGCTTCATCGCTCTAGGAATGGTGGGACTAAAAGGCCAATGAATGTGACCTCTGGTGACCACCTGTTCACAGGATCCTGTGACAGAAGAGTAACTGCATCATGGCAAATTGTCTCCCAAACTATCTGACACTGCTTCGGGGATCAGTACAGATTCACTCATTCTCAAGACCTTCAATCAGGTGCAACGTCTCTTCTAGTGACTTACAAGACCTCCTGGGGTTTGAAGGATGGTGAAAGAAATGGGACGGTATCCACATATTTCTTCCTCAGTCTCTCTCCCAGGGCAAACATCTGCTCCATGCCCACCTTGGTCAGCTGCCCAGCAAACATGCCCCCCTGAAGTGGGGAAGGAAGCAGAAGGATGAAACACCAGACAGCCTGCTGAACTCAGCCATGGAGAACCACCAAGGCTTTGCAGTGGGCCTCCCAGGGCAGAAAATCATTGCTCACCTTCAGGGTGGTCTTGCGATAGTGAGAGTCATAAGAAGAATGTGGTTTGGGGCCACCAGCTAAACTGGTGACTGTGTAATCAAACTGAGTCTGAGGAGGGACCTCTAATAGCTGGGGGTTCCACTCTACCTGTTGTGACCGTAACAAAAAATAAAACAAAACATAGTTTTTAAAAAAGGCTCTTGAAACTCACAGTATTAACACCCAGCAACCCTATAATGTTCCCATGAGAAGAAAAGAAAAAACTTTACTGCCAATCAAAAGAAGAAATGACCGGGATTTATTTTTCTAGGTGTCTTGTGCACATGTCCTGTTAGTGCGACACTAATACTCACCTTTAAGGGGCTGCTCTAACGCTGAGTTCACACCGGATCACAAGGGGGAAGTGACAGAGTATCTGGCACACAAACACCTGCTGAGTGAGTGAACGAAGTACGATCTCAAAGACCATGTTGGTGAGCATTTCCAAGGAAACGGTCTGCAGATTTCCATGCGTGGCATCCCCAACTTAGGACTCTGGTTAATATCCTTTGTTATTACCATATATTTTTCTTTTCCTCTCATCCTATTTCTGAAACAAGTACATCCAATCTAAAGGCTTTGCTTCTTCCTCATCTTCCTCTATTTCCTGCAATCTGATCCCTGTCCCAACTGTAATATAATGGTTTTTAAAACACCACAAATGGATAAACAAAGATCACAAGTGGCCACAGATCTCATAGCTCCAATTACCCATACATCTCTTAACACTTATTGAGTTGGATGTGATGACTTCCATTTCAAAAACAAGATTTTCTTTTCTAACCCCATATACTTGCTCCTCCTTCCAAACTGTTATGTCTCTCTCAGTACAACACTAATTCTAGGCCTGAAAACTTAAGCCTCTGATTCCATCCTGCCCCATGATCCTTGTGCCAAGCCCTGTGGATTTGTGGGCTAGCGAGAAAGTCACTAGTAATGGTCCTTCTGCTCTTACTATCAGAGTATGTATCTTATTACTTCAAGCAAAAGGCACCTTCCTCCTCCTTCCCAGTTTGGGTCCTCTAATTCTGCTGGGTAAAATCCTTCAAGGCCTCACAGCTGTGTGATGGCCCAGTCTCTTCTCTAGCATCTTCCTCACCACTTCATCCCAATCCTCCACACTTACTCTCAAGAAACACAACTTTCATTTCTTCAGTACCAGTCTTATACCTCCCGACTTTTCAGTGTCATTTCTTCTGCCTGCAAATTTTTCTTCTTTTATCTGGAAAGATTCTCATTTTTTCCATAAGACCCAACAAGCCCTGGCCATGGCCTAAGCTTACACAGCAGTCTCAGTGATTTTCTATGGGAGTCTTTACTCAAATGTTCTAGGGGAAGGTCTGTCCTGTTTGGTATACTTAGCTTCCTGAGAAGAGACTCATCCATGGACCCCTATATTCTGGATGCCTTAAAAGGACCTGGCATGCCACAGGTTTAATTAATAGCTCTGACAACTTACCAAACCCAGTGAAGATACCAAACATGAGATAACCTGATACTGCCCTTCCTGGCTTTTCAGGTTAGCACAGGAAGCAAGCTACGAATATAAATAAAGCAATGCCTTAATAGATAAGGGGCATAAGAAGCCAGATAAAGGCAGTCACAGTTCAAAGGCAAGATAGACCTTTTCTTTTGGCTGGAAATTCAGGAAAAGTTTCATGGAAGGAATGGCATTGGAAATGAATAGGATTTAGACAAGCACAAACCTGAAGTTGTAAGAAGTAGGTGAGAGGGTAGATTTTCAAATTCCAAGGACAGATAGAAAGTCCAAGCATGGTAGAGGTGATGAAGAATTACAGTAAAGAAGCGTTTTAGTTTGCCTTAATCTAGGAATGGCTTTCAAACTTTTTAATTAGCAAACACCAAGTAAAGCTGAACTTTAGATTTGTACATATAAAGGCCAAAAGTTTCTCTAGTTCAAGTAGGAATAGGAGCCCAGAGCCACTCAGCACCACCATGGCCCATGGCTCCAAACAGTAGCTAGACAGCTGACAGTATATACCTGTTACAGTTGTGTCTCAGTGTATGACCATGGTGGCGTAGAGGATGAAGATTACTTGGAGACAAGACTTAGATCAACCACCAAGAAGCCCAGAGGAGCTACCTCAACAGACAGCATCCACATGAGGGAGACTCCCAAGGGAAGTCCTGAAGCTGAGAACACTTCAGCGTTTATTTAGAATATCATTGTAAGAGAAAAAAGCAAAAGAAAAACATCGGACAAGGAGCTGTCTCAAAGCCAGGCAGTTTTTCTTCAAGAAAGGAGGACAATGGCCAGCCACCACATGATTCACTAATCTAAATTTCTTGTTGTTTAACCATTCATTTCTCATACAGCCTGTGTGCTTTTGCACTGCAGTTTAACTATTCACTCCTTGGCCAAGTCTCCCACACAGTTGGAATGGAAAGACCTGATGGAGAAAAGCAAAGTTTACAATGTCTGCAATAGTTTACATAAACAGCTAAGGTTCACCCAAGGCAGAAGGGACAGAAGAGGTAGATAGATGTAAGATATCTGAGTTAGAATTGACAACTAAGGAGACAAGAGCTTTATTTAGCAGATGGGTTGGAAGGTAAACAAGGAGGAATAGGGCTGGGGATTTGGCTCAGTGGTGCCGCTGCCTGCCTTGCAAGCACAAGGACCCAAATTCAATCCATGGTTAAAAAAAAAAAAAAAAAAAAGAGACATATAGAAGAAACTACTTTGAGTGCCTAACATGGAGAGGAATTATTCTTTGACTAAAACTAAGAACATGGAGAGGAATTATTCTTTGACTAAAACTAAGACAAAGACAAAAGAACTTCTAGAAAGATGAGAGTTCAGTTTTGATCGTTTTAAGTTTGAGACCCACTACTCTCTCTGCATAGTCCCATAATTAGAATCTGTTCTGTCTCTCTCCCTTATCCTGTGGTAAACTTTAAAGCCAAGACTAAATTATCCACCCTGGTAAACCCATTGTCTAGCACAGACTGGATAAAACACAAGGCCACAAGGCTCTTTAGCCACACTAAGAAATCTCCTCTCAGGCCATTCACCAACTGAGGATCTTTGGTGTTTCCCAGGGGACAATTTCTAAAGTCCAGTCATGTCGTTTACATTTTCAGATGTTCAAGAATGGACAATTCGCCAGACTTACATATGGCACCAATCCTACACGTACATTCTCATTGTCACTCCTGCTCTTTAGCTTCCAAATTAGTGGTAAGGACTAACTTGATAATTCCATTTGTTTTATTTATAGCCCATCTTCAAAAAGAAATTTAAAATAGACCATAGCAATACTAACTTAAAACAGGTAAGACAGACAAAAGGAAATAAGTACAAGAACAAAAAGGAATACAGTGCTAAGTTTATTAAAAAATGCACACCACAAGGATCCAAATACTTATCGGTGGGCCACAGCTTTGGCACTAAGCTTTCTGGTTTTTATGTAAAAGAAATGCGATCAGCTAGACAAGTTTATAGATAAAAGCAAGCTAAACTGTTGGGAGAAGTATACCATTTCTAATGCTAACAGACAAATTTCTCCCAAGGGTCTTCATAAAGAGGATAGAGTAACAGAATGCACGCCTTTCCAGTAGTCACTGCAATGAGTTCTGCGGGAATGTTTCTCCCAGTTCCCTCAACCCTAATTGAAGGCAATTCTGTACTGGGAATCAATATATTACATTCTAGGTAAAAGAAAAAAATCTACATAAGAGAGAAAAAAAACTTTCTAGGTATGGATTTTAGAATACAGCAATGATTTTAAACTTGGGTATACAATGGCATCACTGAGAAATTTTTTAAAAAGTTACTGATGCTTATGCCCCATCCTGGGCTAATCGCACTGGCTAATCACAGAGCTGAGGTCTCTACTTTCTAATGCTGGAGGATCCAGATAATTTTAAAGCTTCACCAGAGAAATTTTTACTATGTCTGGATAAGCTATGCCAGTTAAATCAGAATCCCTGGGAGAAATATTCAGGCATCAGTAATTTTGTTTGGTTGTTTTTTGAGACAAGGTCTCCCTATGTATGTAGTTCAGGCTAGCCTCGAACTGGCAACAATTCTCCTGCTTTAGCCTCCTGAATGCTGGGATCATAGGCATCCACCATCAAGCCCACAAAGCATCAGTGTTTTTTAAACTCCAGTTGAGCTCAATGTCTTACAAAAGTTAAGAGCCATCAATCCAGAGGAATGGATGGACTGACTGGTACAACCTTCATGCAATGCTTCCTGAATAATAATTTTCTCAGCTGAGCTCTAGAGAGGAACAAAGCAATATAACATTATGTCTCCCAGCTCATCTGTACACTCAAATAAGAACCAGAATGCCTTAACTATGGATATAGGGTAGGCTGAACTTTATTGTATAAAAATAAATACCTGCCTGGTGGAGGCCACTTTACCACCGACCAGAGGTCAGGGAAACCTAAAAGCAGGATCAGGTCCTCTTTTGAAAATGTACTTGGATCTACTCTACTGATCAGAAAAATGGCCGAATGAGTTCCATGATTCTGTTTCCAAAACATAATCTTTCAGCAAGACAAGTTAAATCAACAGCGATTCAAGGTATAAGAACTGTTGTTTTAAACAATGCTACTTTTTAAGGATTTGTGAGATAACGGAATGACTTGTCACATATGCTTTATCTATCCGAGTAATCTTTATCCTCTATGCCACCATGGTCTAGAAATCAGGAAGTGTGTATCAAAAGCAATTGTAGTTTCAGAATTGTTGCCAGGGAGTCTCATCTGACTAAAATAATAACAGAACAGGGGCCCTGACCCACCGCGGGAAGGAGAACCACGCCTGCTCCTGACCCAGCAGCCATCGCTCAAGCACCAGGAAGGTAAGCCCCCCACATACTCTCAGACCTCCTGACTGTGCCAGTCTTTGGACCCACTCTGCAGAGGCAGAGGTGGTCTTCAAGGGTATTTTTCTGAGTTCCCCACTTTGAACATCTTTAAAGAAAGGGCAGGGAAACCTGTAATAGAACGTTGCGGAGTTCAACCATTCAGAAGGATGGGGAACTCAATCTGGGCCTTGCGGCCCGAGGTCAGTCAGCGTCATGGGGTTCAGCAATCAGCGAACTGAGATCAGGGGTCTTCCATCCTCGCTCTGT